AAATTTGCAGAGGTACTGCAGCAGCTATTCTAACTCCATCAGTGGATGTTTGTCACACAGCACGTCATGCATTAAGTTTAATCGCTACATCGCGGCCACCGGCAGTAATCACGGCATTAAGTAAAGAAGTTGGTTATATCACTGATATGAGAATTTCTTCGTCTTATTATTGATATTGAAAGCTTGTTATATTGTCATTATTTAATTCGGAACTTCATCTTTTCTCTGAAGAATTAGCTTATTTTTTTATTTGTAAGATTGCTGAATTGAAGTTCATCTATTTCGTTGTCATTTTGTTTCGTTGTTGTAATCAAAATTAATCACTTTTCTGAGCAAAATTTAGGATACTGGTAAAATGAAATTCATTTACATGTTCTCTTTTAAAATCTGGCAAGCTATCAAAATGTAACGGTTCGTAAACATTTGTGATAAATATTGACCTGAATTTGGGTCCAATTCTCTTTATTCACTGAAACTATTACTATTATCCTTCACTCAAATGTATACACAGACAGATGACGAAGATTCTGATTGTCGAATTAGTAGACAGTTGCCAAAACATTGTTTACGCGTTTCGGTATTGCAAATCATTCATTACCAATGGGGTCACATTTTTAGGCTACAAAAGGATATGAGAGGTGATGCATTTATTGGCTATGTTTAGAAAATTTCAAAAGTTATAATATGCGTTAAAATAATTGAATAGCGTAATGGCGGAAAGTTTACTTGTTAAACCAAAATAATACGAACTGAGTATAAATGGAATTGAAATCGAAGTTATATAAAACTTTACCGCATTGAAATTAAATTATTCAACTATATATATATATATTCTCAGTTCCTGTTAGAGCTTTCAATTGAAATAGCTGAATCATTAAATTTCAATGCGGTAAAGAATTACATAACTTAGATTTCAACCTCAAATATTTTTTACCACTGATTTAGAATAATTCTCATCTTTAAAAGAAAGGAATAAACTTTGATACCTTGTAAGCAAAGTTGATTCATTAAGAATTAATTGTCACAACATTATTATGCATTGCAGCGACGCTTTATTCATATTATAACGTTTCGTGATGCCATTCTGCTATTTAATTACAGTATTTAATATTTGTATATGTTTAAATGAAGTGATAGTGATGAAATGTTTCATTTTGTTTTACCGCTTCGTTCCAATTATCCTTTTTGATTGTTCGCTCTTATTGCAAACCCCTTTTTCACCTTCATTTTTTAGTGGGGAACAGAAAACTTTATTTCACATAGTGGAGAAAACGATGAAGTGAGGAATGAACAATCGGACGAAACACTGACCAAACTTTTCCATCAGCTAATTGTCACATCGATAACAATGGCAAACTTTACGATGACATCAAATCCTTTTCTCCCTTTTTTCTTTTAAAAGAAGAATTACCGATAAAGTAAGAAAAGAATTATAGAAGGAAAGCAAAAGAATTTTATGATCATAAAGTGGATAACATAATTATTTCATCATACTTTATCATCACAACTTCATATTACAGGGAATTTGTGATTTCGTCTTTCCTACGACAGTTTTATTCTCAAAAATATAACGTGAGTTAAAAAATTATACTTGAAGAGCTGTTGAGAAGTCCCAAAACTTATCGTAAACAGTCAGCAATCAGTTGATCGTTTCGTCAATTCTCCAGGAATGCTTGAATAATGGTATAGTACTGAACAAATCTTTGCATAATTTTGCAAATGAAATGATCCCGAAAAAAACTTGTTAAAGTAATTCTAGACCAAACCTTACACCATCCAGAATTTCCCTGAATATTTCACATGGTTATTTATTCCGTTCCCGATTTGTTATTCAAGATGACCTTGGATAAATTATTTGTTCTATTTTCGAATTTCAGTTTGAATTTCATCGCAATATTTCCGTAAATTAGTGGATTTAGCAATGATTCCGCAGTATATTTCTTTTGAGGATGTCTGTTACGCAGAAGTCTGCTCAACTGAACATATCACACTAATAGAATGCTTGAATAACCGAACTACACAGCAATAAACGATTCTTCAGTTAGAAGATTTATTTACATTATTGGCATGAAAAGATGTTTCTATCACAATAAACTTAATTGTGGAATATTGCAAAGAGAAAGTGTTGCGGACAAGTTTTCAGCTAGACTAATGTATAAAGAGACTTATAACAATTGGATATCTACCTAATTCATTGTGATTCCTTTTGAAATTTTATATTATGATATGCAATGTTTCATGATTAGGATGTTCAGGACCAGCATGAAACCTGATGGTTGATCATTACTGATAAAGTTTTTTTTCGTATTTTAAATATTTTGAGTATATTTGATTCTCCTACCATTACGACTGCTAATCTATAAAATATCAAACGAGTTCAAAGCCTTATTTCGCTTCATTTCAGTAATGAGGCCTCATTACAATCCCTTCCTGCTAAATTTTGGAAAAATAAAAAAAGTTCCCTTGGAAGTAATTTCCACAGTTGATAAATAAGATGACGGGAAATTCAAGGAAAAAACAATTCAGTGATGGAAGAAAACGAAAAAAGTGATATATTGGGGTAAGGACCGATGACCGGAAACATGTGTAAGGCGGAAATTTATATTTAAAAACTGCATTGAATTTTGTAAATGAAAAAAATCGACAGGTCTCAGGCTTTTCAATTCTTTAAGTTCAAATACTTGAATTTCCAGGAGGTCAACAGTATCTCAGTCCTTAAAATCATGACTTTACTTCACGAAATCAAATTTGAAATAGCCATAAATCAAAAATCGAAAGGGATCAAATGTTAAACTAAGGAAATCAAGAACAAATTACCTGCATATGACCTGGATAAAAGGGAAAAGTAAAACAATATCACTGATACAATATACAAATGGAATGTACCGTACGGTTTCAATGCACACTAAAGATCACAGGTTGGAATTTTCAGTTTGGAAAACACCTGGTTTAATCATTGTGAAACCATCAAAGAAAGAAATTTGGAAAACAACAAACAAACAAATTCTTTACATGTCTGAAATAGTATTAAGGATAAACAAATAAACAAAAATTCGAAAAACAAGATCAAATGATCCCAGCACTTTTTGTTTGGAAGAAAAAAGACTTGTTTAATTATTAGCCAAATCTTATGTTAAATGTGAATTTATTTCTGCTTTAAAACTGTTTGAAAAATATTTAGTATTGATCTGTCCAGCTGGAAAATAGTTCAGACTATTCAAAAACGTCAAGACTGAATAAACCAGAACTGAAAGCAGTTGGCAGCTATAAAATATTAGAAGTGAGTAGACGTGAATGATCTTCAAAAAAGAAACGTGGAGAGTAGTAAATATTTCCATAAATTTGAAACTTAAAACTTTCATAATAACATTGGAAATATTATGTAAAAATCATAAAAGAGATAGGAAAGAGTCGATTTTCCTTTGCAGAAAGAAATTTTCAAATTCTGACATAAAACTAAACATTAAGATTCGGAATTCAAAGTAAACATCGTGTTAACGCTGCAGGATACCACACAGACGAAGATGATAAGGGTACCGTGGTGTTGCGGTACGCCGATTGCGGTAATGGTGTTGCCTGTTGTGCGTTTGTTCCTTGTTCCTGAGAGTAATATTTTGCGAGGAACCAATTTTGAAGCTGTAGCATTGTGGTCAGATCTGTTACAGGTTTTGGTGCAATACCATTGATCGATGAGGTGGAATCTTTGTCATCTGTCAACGAACAATCGCACTGAGATGCAGCTGTGGGTGACGAAATTTCTGAGGTTTTTGAAGCATTGGCAGTATTTCGATTTGTTTGTTTCAGCGTTACTCCATAGCGTTTCTTGAAATTATGTAGCCAATGTTCAGAAAATAAGCAGCGAGCAGATTTTGTCGCTTCCTGTAATACTTCAGGGCAAATTTGCAATGCGAGCTCGCGAGCTTGCTGCTGAAGCCAACGATTCGAAATTCGCTCCCCTTTGGACTGTTGCTCTCGCAGTCTCTCAAATAAAACTTTTTCTACACCTGGAAATTGAACTTTGCGACCTCTCCGGCCTGGTTCCGCACCCGTCTGATTTTTTCGACATAACCACGGAAATCTTTCATAGAATGCTTGAATTGGCAGTTGGCCGGGTTTATTCAAAATTTCTTGAACATGTTCCTGAGCAGCTGGGAATGTTCCGGACGTAAGTATGGTCAGGGGATTGTTAGGACTCATTTGGTCTTCCACATCGAAAAGAGTTTCCAGGCTATCGCTGAGAACACTATCAGCATCCGAATCTATACTCTCATTTTCTGCCGCTTCATCGGATTTGGTAGGGGATTGCTGTATGGAATCTACAGCACTATTACCAGACCCAACAGATTCTGTGGAACCCAGACTTCCGGAACTACTGTTACCAGAAGACCAGTCACGGTTCAGATTGATTCTGTATCGCTTCTTGAAGTTACTTAACCATCGCTCACTAAATTGACACATCCCTGCCAATTCTTGCTCTGAACATTGCTGCTGCGCTAGATTCCTGGCTGTTTCCCGAATCCATCGATTTCCAACCTTCTTCCCAGTTCCCAGATGTGCATGATAGAGATGAAACAGTTGTTTTTCAATATCGGGAAATTGTGGTTTTCGGCCGCTACGACCGGATTTTAGTGAGCCAGGCCTAGACTGTCGGATTTTGTCAATTTTTTGCAGCCATCCATTGAGCATCGACTTTGTTATTTGAAACTCTTTGCAGGTACGATATTTGTTCTGTCCATTACTGTAATAATAATTAATAACCATAAGTTTGAATTCCCGTGGATACGACATTCGATTTGGTCCCACGGCAGCACCAAATTTAATTGCAATCCAGTTGGAGTTTACACTCGGATTTGTACAAGTTGGCAGGAATTTTAACTGTTGCTGCTGCTGTAACTTAATAGGCGATTCTTGTCGAGCAGATGTCGACTGACTGAGATCCAGTGGTACTTCTGGGCTAGTTTCAGTGCAGGAGTCTTTGTCACTAAAGTGAATAGACGAGAAGCAATAGGATGTATCGGAGTTGGTCGATGTAAAATCGTAGTTTTCGGGAAAGTCAATAACTGTACTAGACTAGAAGCAGAATTGTTTTCGGCAGATAACTGAGAACCTTCCGGGACCAAGTCCTTAGAAGTTACTATAGAAGATGTTGATGGCAAAGGAACGATAGCCGAAGCAGAAGGGAGCATAGAACAGTGGCTAACGCTTACGTTATGTGAAACCTGGCCTGTATCTGTTAAAGTTAAGTTTGGCATTTGTGGGTCTAGACCTGGCTGCTGTTGATGGTGACAATTTTGTACGTTGCCGGCAGAATATTTGGTCAGGTCCATGAAATGGATTAGTGGTATGAGGAGTGGAAATAGTAGTGATAGCAGTTGATGACGTTCTAAGAAGGCGAAAGTGTGATAGGAACACTTGGAGTCGTCGTTGGAGCAGCATGGACGAACTGAAATGAAATTTCATTTCAGTTCAAAAGGGTGTGTATGCTTTGTAAAAGAGGGTATAGGAAGACATCATCAGACCCCCACCCCCACCCTATCCCGCTCTTCGATGCGCTGTTGACCAAAAGGTCGTTGGCTGGTGGCCCTATTTTCTTCAAATATCCTTCACCTCCTTCTTAACTTTGCTGCTGCTGTTATCGAAGAAATTCTTACAATTGAAAATGACGAGAAAATGGGGTGGGCGGGGGAAGCTGTAACCCCCGGGGTCGTCGCATGCCTCATTCTTACCGAGATAGAGAGAATATTTTGTTTATTTGAAGGTCAACCCCCGATATATTCGATTACTGCGTCCCATGTCTTAATATTTTGAAGGGGAAGATACAGGAAGCAAGCCCATGTACACTACTTCAGCAGTCATTCATAAGAATAGTGAGTAGTAAGGAGAAATATGTTGTAAAATTTGAGATGGCGCGTTCTGCAATCATTTGTTGTGTTCACAAATGATCCTGCGGTTTTACCACGAATTTCGCAGAACAAACGCCTTTAGACCACTCTTTATACTTCTTCCAAACCCCTCTCTCCGTTCAACCCCTTTCTCTCAGAGGGTACAAGTTCACGGTCACAAGACGTAATGAACCAGGTACTCACAAATCTCATCTAATCCATTGTCCTACTCCTTCTTGCATTCGCCTACACTACATAACGAAATTTCAATCTGTCGATTCAGTCCCATTATTCACCTAATTCTTGTTATTATATCAAAACCTGTAATCATTTCTTATAGATCCGGTATTTTGAACTTGTATCGTCCGGACGTCCAAATCGAAATGGTTCAAGAATTCGAAAGACCTGCCAAGAAAAATGCATCAAAAAACAGTTCGCGTTTGAAATCTCTTTTATCGCTTTGAATTGTACCACTCTGTGAAAAAGTAAAAGTTTGTCGGAAAACATTTGGAAAAGGCGAAAGGTCGTGAAAACAGCATCGAGAGGATGACGATCCGAAATCATTGACCCGGAAGTTTGAGAACTTTACCCGTGTAATCCACTTTAAGTGGAAGCGAATTCAAACAAATATAGTTTAAACCAAATAAGTTAAGACTTTTAACAACTTGAGTGAGAAGTTAAAATAAAAACTCGATGAAACTAAAACCATCAATTCTGCCATCATTTCAGTTTCATAAGAGGTTCAATATGGATAGGTTAGGTCAATCAAATGGTAGTGAATTTGACCGCCGAAGTGGCCCGATTTTCAGTTCTGGGAACAGCGATAACAATTTACATGGTGGATGTATGACTGCGTACAATGTTCTCATCATCGTGGAGAAAAGAGGAGGGTGCCGCAAGAACGGTCATTGAACCCTTGGAAACTCTCTTCCCTCTCTATCCACTTTCCCTCCCGTATTTTCGCCAGTTTATGCGTACCCCTTTGCACCTGGTACCTCTCGGGCCCATCTCTTATTATCTATACAAACGAACGCATCAGCGAAATTTCAACCCTATGAACGAAGAACAGCACCCATTTCGCTGAAAATAGGTCAATTTTTGGGATTTTCGAACGGCAATAGCAAATATAGAAAGCAGGCGCACTCTTCTCCGATGCAATTAAGTTTCACCATTCTCGATCCTTCTCAGTGGGTAGTACGGTGATGGGAATTTTACTAGTCACGGCAGTAGCAGAAACTAAAACGATCCTTCCCTCTTCTTTACAAACGTTAAGTCTTTGCGATCTAGCTAATGGCATCTTACCTCACCGCATAACGTAAGATGTGACTCCCTTTCTTCGCTTTTTCCTCCTTTCGTCTCCCGACATCCCAAGCAGTACCGAAATTTGATCTGCATAAAGCAGACAGCCAGTTTGATTGAACGGATATTGGAACTCTTCCTGTTCACTAGGCTCTTTGCACCGGGCTGATGAAAGCGGATAAATACGAAATAAACGGACACTGATAAATAGAAAAACAATAAAGGATAAGGAATGACTGAAGTAAAAACAGTGAGCAAGAAATGAACTGAGTGCATGCTATGCACGTAATCCCTCGGGAATACGACCAGCAGGGTGCATGATGTTGCTGCATCACAAAGCATAAACAAAGAAGTTTCAGGAAGTTCAGAATGAATGTACCACGGGCAAAACTGAACCACCGATAACTTTTGATGAACTAAATGGAATGTTGGACAACTAGTACTACCGGTTGACCGATTGCTTCCGGAATGCCGATGCACATGCAATCAGTGGACCCCTGTCAACGTAATTCATTATGTATTATTTCTCGAAGTAAAAGTCAGGATTTGGTGGATGACCCAAGCACGGTCAGCACCAGAAGCAAAAGGACACGAATGCACCGAGGGAAATAATATTGCATGGCCTTCAGCCTCTGGCTAGTTGTTCTCCGACCGCTTTAGTGAATTCATTTAGATGAACCCTGTTGATTGCGATAGCAGCGGTTTTCCTTTCTTTTGTCTTTGATGAATTGAAGCACTTTTAGTATTATCTCTTTCTCACGTAGTATCAGTTCCCGTGTCTCTCCATCACCTGTGTTCACTCATTTTCACTCTCAATCACTACTCATTTGATGTTTTAGAAGCGCATCTTTTTCTGAGAACGATGTTGACATTTTCTGTGTGAGAAATATTACAGGGTTATATGCTTTCCGGAGAAGTCAGTGAAAGCGCATCCTCCTCATCTGCGACGTACTATGGGAGTTGTTTAAACATGAATTCGGACGTGGCTGAACGTATCACTTCCCTTTTGTCCTCTTTACGGTAGTATTTTTTCATATTTTGCTAATTAAATACTAATAAGTTTACTACAACTTCCTTCTTATATTCAACAAATTATAGTTTTCAATCACTTCCAGTTGTTAATATATCGATTCGGATTTTAGTTGCTGATAATTTAACTGGTGTTCAAATTTGTAGGTTGACTTCACTTCATAACAATATTCCACAGGACGGAGAAGATGAGCGTTTGAAGAAAATCCATCGACAGTTGGAATGGTTGATAAGTGAAGAATCCGATGACCATAGGTGAATTTTGAATATCGCTTATACTGAATATACGAACTGTTAAATTATGTATGAACCAATGTCAGTGAGCCGCTGCGTTCATTTTTTTCCATTTATTAATAAGACATGTGAGAATTTAGCTATAATTGGTGGAAGAAGTACCACTGATATATTAGACTGAACTGTTTCTGCTGCTGCTCCTAGTTATTGAACGGAAATTTCGTGTTCAATGATTGTTTAAAACCAGTATGCGTAACATACTTAGGCTGAAATATAAGAAAATTAATTGATATTTAATATCATTGACAATGATGTTGTTAAGATCATTTTGTAATCTAGGCGACGGCGACTTCGAAACATATTGCCAGCAGCTAACTGTGTGAGGGAGCAGGTTTTTGCTCTGCGACGCTATCTGCATGATCATAACACTGCTTCAAGTGCAAATTATGCAACATATATACATGGTGCATTAACAGCTATCATGAAGGAATCATTTGAGGAAGAATATCGTAAATTAGCTACCGTAGTTGGTAAGTTTGAGCAAAAATATTGCCTCATATTTCAAAATTGGAAATATAAAATACTTATAGAAGGCTTAGTACCTTTGTTATTATTCTTATATCTTCTCATTTATACTGTTCTTTCTAATAGGTGTCCTGGATGCAGTTGCGGAGCTGTTGATATTTGAAGTAGATGCTTTTGATATTGATTGTCCAGTGGAGAATCGTACGATTAGGAAGCTGATAGCGAGCACATTAACTAATTTAACATTTGGAAATACGCAAAGCAAACGCCGTCTGTGTTCGCATCCGAATCTCATAGAATATACTATTAGAATTATAGACGATTCCCATGGTCTCGCTCAGGTTTCTGATTTCTACACATAATTCTAAAATTTTCTGCTGTGCGTGCATGCGCTTATTTGTTTACTTGTATATTATTGAACTTACTTTCATCACTCTCTTATGTTGTGATGAAACCAATTTTTGTTTAGATTTATGCTGGTTTATTACGAAATTTGTCTTGGATGGCAGATGCACAAATGAGTACAACATTAGCTCCATCAGTTCCGGCTCTTGTGAGAGCATCGCTACGTGCATACCGCACAGCCGAATCGAAATGTCTATGCGCTACACTTTCTGCACTGTGGAATTTAGCATCACATTCACGAGACAATAAAAAAGCTCTTTGCGAAGAACCAGGCTTTTTAGAAATGCTAATTGAATTGTCAACAAATGACGCACAGCATACGGTATGTCAAAATTCTTCGATTGCCTCTTTCCGATGTTTATTTATTTTCAATACTTCATATCTAATTTATGGGTGCGAACTGAAAGTCCTTGACAATATTTGTTCACAAATGCACCTATGTGGATAATATTCACGTGCAGTAATTATACTTCAACCCAAGTATCACATATTCAGCTGAAAAGAGAGTCAGCACATTAAATTTAGATTAATTAAATTGGCATAAACTTAGGTGGGAATAAGATAAATTTCAACGCATTCTCTTGCTAATTTAATTTTTTTTTCCCCCTACACTAATATTGAAAAATATTGCCATTTATAGGCACTGGTTGAACCGGCGACTGGTGTTTTAAAGTACGCATCAATGTACTTAGCCGTTGTAGGAGCAGACCAGTATTTATCCACAAGTGCCATTCATATGATGATGCTTCGTCTTATCGACTTGTTGAATAGTCCATCGTTCACCGTGATAGGAAATGCTTTAGGGATACTGTCACAGTTGCTTGCCAAAGGAAATCAGTTGCGGTCTCATATTTTGTAAGCTTTTTTCGAACACTTTTTAAAGTTTTATTCACCGTGTGTTAACATTTGTATGCCTTTCTTTTTGTTCACATATCTGCATTTCATTTGTGTATATCTTTGTTCTTTGACCTCATCGCTGTCATTTTGATTCCCTTAAATTGTTTAAATTTTACTTTAATTGCAACGACGTTTTCATTATGTCATATAATTCTGACAATCAACATACTAGCTGGCACCGATTATTTATTCAAAAAGTACTTTGATTTTTAGATTGAATCATAAGGCCATGTTATTGTTGAATCATCTTCGAAATTCTACACGCGACGATATTCGTAATCCTGTTAAAACCGTGTTGAATTATTTGAATTCGTTCGATGTTTCTGAGGTTTATGTGGCCACGTCACCTCACCCTTCAACGCATGGTACACCGCCACTTAGTTATCGTTTCGACGGTAATCTTAGACTGGTCTTTGTATTTTTTCTGAGACGCCGTGTCATCATGCTAATTTTTTGACTTACAAGATTTTTCAGGTATGTCATCATCGTATGATGGTACAGCTTCAGTTGCTCCATCTTACATAGATTCAACACGGCTATTAAAATATCGTTCACCTCATTCTTACACAGCAAGTATACTGGCGGGAAAGATGAGCAGTACATTGAACAGTGAATATTTCCCTTATTCGTCCCCATCATGTGCTTCCATTATGCAGCAGGGATTTGCCCCACGTCCGGGTGATCGTTCACATCACCAAGAACAGCCTGCATCTCTTCCGCGGCAGTTTTTCCAGAAAAGTAAAATATCGAATGCGTCGTCTGTTGGAGATGATAGTATGTATCTTAAGCAAACGCAGCCTGCCGCACGGTTTTCCCCGTCGTAAGTTTTTTTTATTTTCATTTCCGTTATAAAGTCATAAAAATTTTATAAAGATTAGAAAAAAAGATTGGAAATAAAAGATCAGTATTGTTTTGGATGACTTAAGTGGTTTCCCCTGTGCACGTCAGGTTTCTGTCGCAGATTATCTAGCTCAGTTTAATAAGATCGACTTCTCAAATGAGTTTCACCTTTGTTTTAGACATCCTATTCATCCAGAGCAAAAGGATATGAGTACTTCGACAATGATAACAAGCGGCTTTGCTATTGAAACTTCACAAGGTCCTAATCTGAGTAATGGTGTAAACGGTGATGATGATGGATTGAAAGTCTTAAACAGACCTGATGACCCATCTTTCGAAGTGGAAGATAGTGTACGATGTACACGTTGTACGAGCACGCAGTCGCTCTCATCATTATTTCCGGTGCATATTTCTACAATTCTAGACGAAATTACTGGTTTTTTGATTACTCAAAGTTGTGGAAGCACACGGAATTGTTGAGGAAGTATATTTTTGCAAAACTATTACTATAGTTTATTCAGTTAAAGATTATATGTGCATTTAGCATTTATAGCTAATCTCAAATTCATTTGCAACTTTGAAAGATATTGTAGTAAAAAGAACCTCATAAGTTATTTTAAAGAAAAATCGAGAAGATAGAAAGCTGTCTTTTTTAATTCTCTCCCAGATTTCAAATACGAGTAAACATCTATACTTGCAAACCGCTTAGATCAGTAATGAGCACTGTGTAACATTGCTTATATACATTGCTGCTTCCAATTCTTTTCGACAGAATTTCAGTATTTTCCAAAAGGAATTCATTTGCAGGGTGAAAGAAGCACATGGAACAGTTGTAACAATTCGGCAGCTGACAGTAATCGTCTTTCTCCAGTTAGCGCTACTGAAATTCCTGATTCTCCCACTCAGTATTCACGATTAACTGATTTAACAACACTTTCTGCACGAGATTTTAATATAATTACAAGTACTGAAAAAAATGAAACACGAGATAAAGTAAGCACATCAAAGGAAGTGCTACTTGGAGATCCTGAGTTAAAGGTGGTAAAATCAAGTAATGGAGGAAGTGGTCCTATCAGTAAAGACGATAGAAATACAAAAGGTGTAAATCCTATAAGTTTGTATATGCGTAAGTTACTTAGAGGTGTAGCTTTAAGCTCTTCTGAAACTGATTTTCGATATCTAACATAAATTGAATAGATTTATGTCATATCATGGAGAACATCATTCAGTAAGAAGAGTGCTATGAATAATTCTTAAATAGGGCAGTATTCGAGGGTAGTGTGCAATTTCATATTAAATTCATTTATTTAACTCATTATTTTTATTAAAGGTATAATCCATACCATTTTTCTGTTAAGTAAGATTTTGCTAAGTAGTGATGATGAGTTTTATCAAGTATATTTGTAGAATACTTAAGCGCAAGCTTAGGTGATCATCACTGCATTTTTTTTCTAGGGATCACGGAGCAAGGGAATTCATTAGATGATGATTATGGGAGTTTCATGGGTCGTGCTGATTCTGAGCTTCTAAATCAGTCAATCGAATCTGCGATGCCGAAGAGGTACTAGGCTTTCGAAACTCCAGTTCTAAGAAAAGCAGAAAATATTGTCAGAAGAACTTCGAAATTTTATTAAGAAAATGACTGACTAGGAATGGATCTTCAAGTATTTATTTTAGAGTGGAAATCAACGAGGAATTCCTAGCAGATATGATCGAACAGGCACAACCAAAGCCATCCCCTTTGAAACAACATGAAATTTGTGGAGGACGTAATTTTTCAAGAGCTTCTACAGCTAGAGCATCGAGTGTGAAAAGTAAGCCCCGAGGTTTTATAATTATTGCTTATATGTTTTTTTATTTGAAGTACTATTGAATACATATTTTTCACATTAACTAGTTTTTCAGTAGAAAACGACGATTTCTTGCTGCAGAGCATTGCCAGCGTACTACCGCAGAGTTCCAACTCCACACATGATATGTCAAGCATAGGTTCGCCGCCAAAAAAAGCGAGGGCCATGACGGGCGATACCGCACGCACGTCAGGTGGCCCTAAACGTGTTTCGCATGCGGTTCTTTCAAATTCGCACAGTCGTCTTATGCATAGTTGTTCCGTTCTACGTACGAGGGAATTGAGGCCGAACGGTGTAAATCTAAAAACAATGTTCGGAAACAAAATCACTGGATCAAATTCTGCTGCACTATTTGATGCAGCGCTACGGAGTTCTTTTGTAGAAAGTCCGAAAACCACAGAAAAAGTTCGAGATGCTTCGGATGCTTCGTTGTTGGTTCACCAAGGTACTAACGAGGTATTGAAATCTACATTTCTTTTTTCCTTTTCAGTTTGTCAGTTCTTTCATTGAATGAAAAAATTTATTTAGGAGAGCGACACACTAAGCGAAGACAACTACAGTCCTTTAATGGATAATGATCTGGCTGTTGATAAAAGTATGCCGCAAGATATTGATGAGGAATCGCAGACGGAACAGCTCATAATAGATTGTGGCGTCGTGTCAAGAACCGTCAGGCAAACTGTTGTAAAGCCGGTGCAGAAAGCGAGGTTTTTTTCGGGTCTAATAAGATCGATTAGCTTCTAGTGTAATTAGTTTTTTCTTAGTGATGGGCTTATTTCACAATTGGCACAATCTTTTGGAAGCTGACTTTGATCATGATAGTAATGGTTTATCTTCTACATTAAAGCTCACCGATAAAATCCCCTCCCTAAGTCTCTCCATATATATATCTGGTAGAGTCTTCAGGGTTCTGAATCGTTCAACTATTTCTATTTCTGTTCAAGTTTGATGTTTTCTGATTTGTGGGCAAATTAATAATACAGCAACTAGAACTAATATCTACTTGGGCTTCTAAGAAATTTAAACATCTAAATTCATTTTTTTAGTCATGCACAAGTTAGCACGTCGAGTCGTTTTGGATTGGCTCAGAAAAATATGGAAAAGCGATTATCACGACAAGAAATTTTTACACTTCCAGCACCGCTCAGCAACTGTAACTCACGAAACAGCTCTCCGTGTAATCCGATTTTAACATCGGCACCAACTTCTTTTAAATCAATGACTAAGTTCCCTGGTATTTCTTTCTCTATAATGTTTTTTTCCACTTAAGGTTTTTTTTCCTCCACTTAAGGTTTTTAAAAGTGATTTTAAGAATTTATTTGTTACAGGTCCCTCCAACTAAAAGTTGTGGTACATTTTCAAATGTTAACTTTTATCATGAAGCTTATATTGGGGAAAAAAAACATAGGTTTTATTTTATCGCATAGTTTTACAAGTAGTTTTTTTCCTTTTCTCGAGTAATCCCACTATACGAATCTTTTTGGCGCAAGTTACTTATTAAAAGTTCAAAGCAAGTTTCACTGTTCATCTGATAATCCACTGATAATCGCCAGAAATTCTTTCAGTAAAAACACCGAAGCATAATGCTCCTATTTCAAAATCAACGCAAGAGGAAGTTTTCATTTCGAACACAGTCACTTCGAGGATTCGGAATTCTTGTGTCGCTGCTGCAAAATCGTCAGAGGTAAGATTTCATTAACTGTTAATCTCAAGTATATAATAAATTACGATTTTGTTCTTTGCTTTGGGATTATTGTTTCTAATAAGCTTGTAGTGTTGTCATTTATATTGCTTCATTTTTTTTTGGAAAATTTAAATAATATTTTCTGAGTTTGATTTTTAGATATTTCTATTTCTTAAAAAAAAGATATGGAACGTTTCAAATATATATCTTGTTTAAGGACTGTAAAGATTGGAGTCCACATCATGCACGTTTATGGTTAGGACCTACAGGATCTAAACAGTCTGTCTTAACCAGAGCTAGACCTATTGCAACACCTTGTTCATCAAGTTCAAAAATTAACGTACCACGACCCTCAACTTGTCGACATCGAGCAGCTACTTCGGACACTTCCAAAATTCCCCAAAATTGTGCCAGTTCGATTTATGAAACAATCGAGCCTCAGGCTGTTCTTATTCAAGAATTAGCTAAAAGTCAATCCGCTAAAATATTGCCATTAAGTCATAAAAATGTGAACGAGAAGGTTCGCTTTTTATATTTGCAAGGATTAGATGTTAAGATTTTGAGGAGGCGCAGTTTTTAACAAATTTCCACTTCAAATTTTCTAGTTCATAATCTCGACATATAAGTTTGAAATATAGCTAAGCAGAATTGTCCTTGATTTGAAAAATAGTGCTGTGAGATTCGGATTGTTCGCATTTTAGGAATGATTTCGAGAGTACTTGATAATATTGTAGATCACCAGAATTGTTTCATGAGTGGAAGATTTATACAGTATGGCTGGTTATAACTGTTTATAAAATTTTCATTTATAGGTTGCTGCTATTACTGCTATGCTTGAAAATGATAGCAAGAGAGATACTGTTGTAACTGAGACCGGAAATGGCAGTGAAACGCAGTGTAACGATCACTCAACATCTGAAAGGAAAAAAACTATCAAACAGATGCTCGTTACTACCGTTTAAAATCAAAATTTCCGCTTTTTTTGAATCACCTTGGTTTTTTAAAAAATTAGTACCTTTAGAGTAATTGTTAAATTTTTTTATTTTCTGAAGGCCTGGTTTTAATGGTCTTCCTGCCTTAGTAGCGGAAATTGTGCCGGTAGTTTTTTGTGAAAGGAGAATGTTTGCTATAAGTACAAGGGCAAAATCTAAAAAAAATTTTTTTTTGTTCAAATAAACAGTTGAAATTTAAACTCACAGCATAAGTCCACAGAATCCAAAGTTTCTTGTAAATTTTTAGAACAATCATAAAACATGAGCAGAACTTACAAGCATTTAAATAGAGCGTAAAGTTTTGTGGAAATTTTATGATTAAAATTACGTACTAATAACATCGTAATTCAATGGCTGGAACAGTTGACTGTTTTCTCCCTTTTCCCCATGATGCCACTTTGGTTTCATGTGTAATCGTGAAACTACTGCTCTGACAGGTTAGCATCGTGCTTACTCGCGTTTTACTTGTAATTAAATTATTTCACATATCTTTGCTTATTTTATCATTTACATTATGTGCCTTTTTGTAATGATTTTGTATTTGTCGAAATTAAGTGTATTTACAACATGATGATGGAGGTTTAGCAAGTCATTTACAGCAAGCCTTTTAATCTTCTTAGAGAAATTTTTTTGCAATTGAGCTTGTTGGAAAACTTTTGTTTAAACTTGAGGGAAGCAATTCTTTTTTTCATGTGTTCAGGATCATCTGATATACAATGACAGATTCAATGACAGATTGAAGCATTTACTGAATTGTATACGCTCCCGCTTATTTATTTATATGTTTGAATAATTGTATACATAATTTAACTATTATAATTGTCAAGGACATTGTACTCACTGTGAGGACCCAGTTTTGAAATGATTATAGTCGATTTTTAGGTCTTTTTTCAAATATAAATCTTCGTTTTTTTTTTCCATTGTCAAACGATCACTGCTTACTTATTGTAGATCGCGCCCCATGTTCTTACAATAAACGATTGCCCAAGATGAATTTTGTTGAAAGCATTGAGGTTTGATTTACTGATAGAGATATTTATCGATTGGTTAGCAACAACATTTATGAAATATTTGGGGCGAACAGCGTGGAAAAAAATATGAGTTGTTGGAGACGGAAATATTTCCTGCTGCATAATATTACATTCGGAGAGATGGGAAAGCATAATGTTCAGGGTGGAAAATTTGTGTTCAAAATTGGTTTAGAAGGTTTAAAGTGTTGTAGCTCACAAAATTTTGTGATGTTCGATTAAAAGAACATAGACGATATTTCAGCAGATTCACATAACCTGTTCATACCGCAGTTTTCGACGATGTATTTAATACTTTATGCAGTGTTGCATCTCTGAAACGTAAGGAGTCTTCTGTTTAGTTCCTAGTTGATTTCGGAGCTTTAGACTTGATATTCAGGTAGCCTAGTGCTGAGATCTGCATTTGTTATTTGACTAGGATTACGGATTCAAGTTCCAGTCAAGAGTGAAATTCGCAGCATTTTTATGCAGTCGTAATCCTCAAATGCAACCATGTTCAGAGATGGGTCAATCACCTCTGGCGTGCACTGTTATGGTGTATTTGCCGATTCTGTTAAATTTATTGCTGGAATTGTGATTTTAGAGCGGACATTATGTAGAAGATGTTATATACGAGTGACAAATTGGTCGATACAGCAAGCCTAGTAAGTAGTGATAAAATATTTAGCTTTTATATGATACTGTTAATTTTTAGGTAACAAAGTAATTGTATTCACTGCATATCAATCCTGATAGCTATGTTTGCAGTTAGATTTCATTTTCAAAGTAGTACCTACATTTTTGTTCATTAGTGATTTCCTTCGTTGTGTTTTAGTTGATTCCTTTTTTCAAATACTCATTTTTCTTGTAGGACTTTTTTGTGATAACAAAAAATGAGAAAACTGAGTTCGGAACAAAAATTTTCGGTAACCAAGAAATTTCGAAATTTCTCGGGATGTTCCACATGGAATTATGGATAAATCGTGTTATAAAAGCCAAAAGTTTTTAAATAATGCAATGATTTGCTTTTCAAGATTTTCAAAAAAAGAATTTTTTCAAAAAAAAGGTCATGGATTTTCTAGCTCACTGAATAGCTTCATCCGTTTTTCATCCCTCTCAAAAATGTGGAATGCGAGGCTTATGTAGGCAATCGTTCGCATAATTTTCTTTTTCAACTATGAAAAGTTCAAATGTTTCGTTCTTATCACTTTATCCATTTTCAATTCATGAAGCAAGCAACCCTTCTATCTTTTTCATTTTCATAGACGAATCGTAGACTGATAGATTCATCTGTGAACATGGAAAGGATTGAGAGGATCTTTTTCTTCTATTTCATTCAAATGACATTCTTCTTTCTCAGTCCTATACTGCAGCACATTACTCGAGTAGTAAGAAATGTCCAGGAAGACTGATACTACTGACTTTCATGTCGTGGTACCACTAGTACGGGAATATTTTGGTACGTATTTGGAATGTGTGAGATGTTTCTATGCACGGATAGCAGCACATCTAAAATGATTTGTCTTTTCTCAAAGTCTTTTTTCGTTTTTGTTGTCTTCATCTTAACATAGTTACA